GTCTCTACCCGAGATTGGGTATGGTAAAAAAAATCCATCTTCATTCTTACAGGAAGAAAAGCTTTAAAAAAATACAATGTTTAAATTTCAAAATTTGCTACAATCGTAAATTAAATGGAATTATCAAGTTTATATTTTTGTTCATCTAATCTGTTGCCATTGTCTATACTGTAAAAATAAAAAAACAGCTGTAGCTGATTAAACTATATAAATGAAAGTTTTATGTGACCAATGAACTCGTTACTTCTTTTTATGAACCTTAACGCATTGTTCTTTTCTAAATAATCTAATGTAGTTAACATTCCTAAATAATACTGATAATTAAAGGAAACCAGTTACCTTTCGAAGAAACCTGACTACTAAGATTTAATTAGAAATTAAAACTTTGATCTCTTGTAAATTATATATTTCATTTAAATCAGATTTCATTTGTAATTCTTTAAGAATATTTAAATTATAAATTTCGAACAATGAAATTAAATGTAAAATTTATACGAAATATTTTTAATTATAAAAATGTAAAGCTATTGCTAAAATAGATTTTAATATCTCAAACCATTATGTCTAAAATAACAACAATTTAATTATTTAAAACATTCATCATCTTTTAAAATGTAAAATCGTCTGAGTTTTTAAATATTTTATTCATCTCGTCTTCTTATAATTAATTATACGTATTTTATAACATTAACAAAGAATTCCGATAATTTTAATTATGCCCTATAAAATTAAAATATTATATAAAAATAAACATCGTTTTTTTTCTATTATATTAATTTAATTTAGCTTCTGTAAATTATTATTATAGCCTTATAAATATATGTATTTGTGTATTATTCATCAAAATATGTTTACCCATAATAAATTTTCTTATTGTGTATTAATTTAACATTTACATTTGATAATATTCTTCTAAAATTGAGTTTTAATAAGTTTCTAATAGTTGCTATTCATTTATTTAATATTGTACTTTCGTATTAGGATAGTTATAATTTTTATTTCTTGTGTTAAAATCTTAACATTACTAATCAATAATAAATGAAGGCCGAAGGGCCGAGATAGTTAATGCATCAGAGACCTGGAATCGATCCGGACGTCGAAAAACATCCCAGAAATTTTTCCAGTATGGTTCACGTGGTTACATCTTGCCTTATTGCACAACACGCAGCTGCCCCATTATGGACTTGGCCGAAATCACGAGGGGCCTGAAAAAGTTCCTCTTAGTACCCGAAGGGAAAAAACAGTAAAAAAGAAAAAACTCACTAATAATTTGCAACATTAAATAGTAATATCTTCAGATCATTAACAATATTATTTTCTCTATAAAATAAAAATTTAGAAACAAAAAAACAAACAAAATTGATAAGTTTAATAATAGACTTAATGAGAAAGCCCGAAATTTAATAAACAGAAAATACTGTAATTCAATATATAAATATATTCTTATATATTTAAATGTAAACACAAATATTAGCACTTTAATATTAAAAATTATTTACCGATCTGTGAAGTAACCGCTTTACAATCAATGTTTTTAAATGCTGTGACCAAATGCATTCAGACAACACAAACTGAAACAACAATCTGTTGGTATTTTTTTAGTCTTTTTAATTGACTGTCTCCTTTCTTGCATGTTAAAAGAAAATAAAATGTCATAAAATATTTTTAGTCTGTTTTAAGTCTTTGCTTACTAATTGAGAAACAATGACTATTTCTTCGTCGTAGTTATTTAAATTTTAAAATATTTAGTTTTAAGAATTAAATATTATCTGTTTTAACAGAATAGTTTATAAATAAATTAAATTAGAAAATATTAGATTAAATTTGTATGAATCATATGCACCAACTTATAAATGTATTGTGGCCCAAAAGTCAGTTAACCGAGATATGCTTTGAGATCGTTTTTAAGAATGGTTAACTGACTAATTGGCTATTCACAATAATAAAAGCCAATTTTTACCATAACAAATTAATAGTAATAATAAATGCCAACATTAGAACATCTTTTACCTAAGTTTGAATGGTTTATGAATTGTATATTAGCTTATCAAGTCCCAGTTAGAAAAGTTTTTGTATCAATTTTGAATTTCCTGGAGCATTCTGTATTATTCCAGAACACTTTCTTTACTAAATATTGAGATTTCATTAGAATGAAACGAATCTGAAAATTTTGAGTTGTCTCAAACAGTGCTGTAACTACGCACGTGCAACTGGTGCAAAGGCACAGGGCGCAAGACGAATGGGCGCCCTGAAATGAGGTATCAAAAAGTGATTTTTATTATAGTTTTATTTATAAATTTTAAATTTTTCCATCGTGGAAAGCTGATTCCTTAACATTTTCGGTTAAAGTTTTAAATATCGGTTATTTTTTCCATTTTTATAGTATTTGCTTTTGTTAAAATCTTTTTTAAAAGCGGACTAAAACTAAAATCTTGTAAAACGTACGTGAAAAGCTAGTTACGGCATTGGTCTCAAATATCTTCAAACAAATATACATTCACGTAATTCCCTATCATATTAAATTTTAGGTCGGATAGATGGCCGTTTATTAAGGAATTTGCTATAGCTATGAGGAATCCGGTTCGAATCTAAACTAGATTGGCCTATCCTGATTTTTTTTCATGAAGATTCAAGCCGAGCCTCGCTCGTTCCGCATGATGGTCGACCTCATTGTTAGTCATGTTCGTCCAATAGTGGTCTACGTAAAAGAACAGTACTGTATACGTTTCTTTGACATTCAAAAATGGAGTAAGAAATGTACTGTACTTGTATATAAAAATGTTCAAAATATAAATATACACAAATATACAAAGTATATTTTTATTCATATATATCATATTTTAACATTATTTTATAAACACATGTATATATATACAGTTTATTAATCAATATATGTGTATTGATTAATTTATTTATAATTAGTAAGAATCAGTAAGCAAATTTCATATATATTTTTAGAAAATTAATGAGAAGGAAACTTTAAACGAGGCCAAGATAGGAAAGCCCCAAATTACAGATGAAATATTTATGTAAGCTTTGTAGGATAAATAAAACTTGAATTTGAAGAATAAAAATATACATAGAAAATTTTCAATTTCAGAATAAAAATCATACAAATTTTTATCAGAGTTTGAAATATTTCTAAATTCTGGATTACCAAAATTCTATTTAAACTATAAATATATTAAATACATAAACTAAGTAACGTTACTTGTATTACTAGGACTTGTCTGGTAAAACTTTTTCCTTGTTTTAAACAAAAAAATGTATTTACAAAATAAAGAAAAAGTTTTTCTAAATGTTAACTGTATTTTCATTAATAACTATGTTTAAAAAAATCTATAAAACAAATTTCTCACAATTATAGCTCCAGCATCAGGAAAACATAATAAATATTAAAAACATTATCAGAAAAATGACTCATAATTCTATAAATACACATCAATGGAAAGATATTTTTATTCGTTTATTCAAATGTGCTTTTTGTTATTTGGACTTTGCTCTGATTTTACAGAGAATTTTACTTTTGTTTTTCTATTTAAAACAATAGAAAAATTTCCTTAATATTTTATTTTTAATAAAAATATCTTTATTGTTACAAGAAAATAGAGAATAAAATTTATATATTTATTATTATAGAATTAATACTTAATGCTTAAAAATTAATTAGAATTTTATATTATATATATTATATGAAACTTTATTTAAAAGAATTAGAGATTGATCATTCTGATGTAAGTTAAATATTTCTAAAATTTCTCGATACAATTTTCCTCTAACTTTTTACTCTACTTCCTACATTTTTGGCCTAGAAAAAGATTGCGTTCACTGTACATCTTTCAGTACATTTGCAATGTGAAGAGGCGATAATAAAAGGTGTGGTTAAAAGACCTCATTTTCAAAAACCTATAAAAAACATGTTTTATAACCTTACATAAAAGTTTTTGCCACGGAATAGGTCAATATACTACAAATTAGCTTCACATCCGAAGGATAACGAAACCATTATACTATTAATTGTTAACAGCCAGATTAAATAGTAAAATTTTTGAGTTAGATGATTCTTATCGTCAATTTCGATAAAATTACAAAAACTAGCACGAAATTATTATCCTTAGAAATATTAATATATAACTTAAGGTCGTTCAGAATCAAATAACTTCTTATAAATATGCAAAAGACAGGTCAGGTTAAGGTCATTGACTTTTAGAAAGCAGGTAAGATGGCAACTTGTTTACTTTTTGAATTTAAGTGTTTCTCGACCTTTTTTCCTTTTTTTTAAATTCTTTTTGACTGTTCTGCAAAATAAAGAACTTATTTTCTTTAATCAAAAGTATAAAATTAGTACATCTTTACGTAAAATTTATTTTTCTTGAATAGTATTGACCATTATAAAGTCTACCGCCAAAAAACGTTATGTATCAAAAATCAAAATGTGACAAAACCTAAAAATTGTTTAAATAAGAAGTTTATTAAAAGATAAAAACAAAATTATGAATTAAAACATAAAAATTTTACTTTATTTCGTGCATAAAAGTAGAAAAATAGAAATAAACATTTTTTAAAATATTAAAAAATTTTAATAATTGAAATGATTTAATTAAAATTTTTAAATATAATTGAATATAATATAATATTTGAAAGACGGTGATGACGTACAGAAATTTCTGATAAGGATGCAAACTTTATACTTCATTTAAAAAAGGAAAAATCAGTTATTTTATTTTATTTTTTACCTTATAAATGTTAGATTATTTATTTAATGCGACGATTTTATCTAACCCAGATTTGACCGGTCTCAACCTTGATTGATAACGTCCTATTCACACTGACCCAGTTCATTGACTTGGGCTTCGTGAACATTTAACCGGAAACTAATCTTTAATTGTACCATCCTACCTATCATTCTTTTTCATGAACCAATCAGATAAACTGTATTTCGTCAGTCGTATTTCGGACAGAAGGAGGGACTTCGTCTCAAGTCTATTTAATTTCCTCCTCAAACCAATTGCTACCATTGTGTAATCTGTTCGGATTTACAGACAGTTCCAAAGAAGCTTTATTACTTTGAACGGAAGTAAGAAGTTCTCTATCTTAGTTGGTAAGTGTTTTTTTTTTTTTTATGTATAATAATAATATGCTAGACATAGGAATTATTGTTAATCATTAAAAATAGAATTAAATTTTTATATTTTAATATTTAATTAACAAATAGTTTTAAATATTATTAGTGTAAATTTAAAGTAACATTTTAATGCTTTAAAAACAATTTTTATTGGTTATTAAGCTTATTCTTTTGGTGCTTTGAGTTTGGAAATATACTGAGTTTGTTTTGGTTTTACATTGGTTTACTTTAGTAATTTTCTTTTCTCTTTTTGAATTATAAATGCATTCATATTCTGATAATAATTACATAACTGTTCCTCTTATGATATAATTTGTAAAAGAAATAAACACATTTGTATTTTGATTGAAATAAAGATTTTTTTTTAATCAAACGATAGAACTTGTAACTGTAACTGGTTCTTTTATCACTAATTTTATAATGGGACAGAATGTGGTTTTTATTGTTTTTTTTTCAAAAACTAAATTAATATTTATTTAACATATTTTTCTGCATTTACATCTATTTTGTGATTATCTTACAAAAATTATTTGAAGCGTCTTATGTTACATGCATGTTCATAGCATCCCTTTGTTTATTCTAAAATATGTATTATAGTCTAATGAATTGTATATAATACTTTTTTTACCCCGTAGACGGCGTCCAGGATAATATCGACGAGAAATAAAATTTATTTAAAACATACGCTGTTAAATATATAAGCTTATTTTCTAAATGGCACTAAGCATTACATGGTTTGTCATCTCATTATTATGGTTAATAAGCCCAACAATGAGTCAGGAGTTTAATTTGACAAAATATGAGGAAATGCCATTGAATGGCACAATTGAATTGGAAGAAAATTCCACCATGTTAGAAACACCAGCAGATAATGTGACTTCGTTTTCAGAAGAAGCCACAACAGCATTTGACACTAATCCCACAACACCGACAACTGCGCCTTTATCGCTCGATAGTGAAGATTTTAGTTTAGACAGCTTAACTCAAGAATTTATTGATTGTCCCAAACTTCCAGTGGACGAAGATGAATATAAAGTTCTTCCAAATAAAGCAATTTATGTTCCATTGCTTGATAAAACTTTTACCAAAGGCAATTATGTCGCTATAGACGATATAGTTTTGGTGTGTCTTGTTTGAAAAAAACGAAGTATTATATAGTTAAACATTTTATAAAACATTAAATTATTCACAGTAAAATGTTTAACGTTATTAAAGTGTCAAATAATGAAAAACTCAATGAATAGCTGCCAAAAATTTATGTTATTATTTTAAATTATATTAAAATGTATTAGTGTAATTTATTAATAAAATGTGTTATTCATTTTATCTGATTAAAGTTAATAATTTAATATTCAAATATTACATAATGTTTAAATAAATAATGCATATTTTAAATTAATTATTTCAGCGTGCCATAAGTGTAATTAGAGTAAAAAGTTGTTGTTAAATTTATTCATAATTATTTATCGTAAGCGTACGTAAAATTTACAGATATTTCAATTTTTGAAATTGCGATTCTTAAGAGGGATAAAAAAAAACGAGGTCAATGATCCTATGCGAGGTGTGTTAAATAAATAGAGCTTGAAGTGGAAAAGACTGTAAAAAGGCTATGTCAATAATAGTTTTAAGTTCTGAAATTTCTAAAAAAAAATGTACTCTATTTTCTTCCTTTGAAAAATGTGTAACATTGTTTTAAGACAAAAAATTTAATTTAAGTTATACTTTATTCAACAGATATAAAGATAAGAGATAAAATTTGATTATATTTAAGGTTATAATTTTATGATAAATATTCGTATTAAAAATTTTATTCATAAAATATAAATTATAAATAATATAATGACGAAGTTCACGAAATATTTTATAAGTATATTTTGTTTGTATATAATTAGAGAATTTATTATTAATAGTGAAAATTGAAATTTATATTTACTTGAAAATGTATTATTTTTTTATATTTTAGAAATATTCATAATTAACTTGTTTTTATACAAAATATTAAATAATTCAGTCGAATGAAATTTTATTACATTTGTCTTCAATTTTCTAAACAACATAAGAGAATTCTTATATTACACTGTCTGATGTATTTTTAGAGATAATGTATCTTAAAGATACTTTGAACACGCTGAATTATTTTAATTAAATCTTGTACACGTGTTCACTTAAAGAATAGAAATAGATCGTTCTGGAAATTGTTTCATATAATTAAAAATAAATCTAAATGTAAAAGAAATTTGATCTAAGTAGTGTATTCGAATATAAACTGCTTTATCACGATTTTAATTATATTTTATCATTTCGATTTATATAAAATAATTCAGAGTCGTCTTTGACGTTAAGTACTATTTCTTATTTCAAGGTAAGTACAATTATCGCAGTAAATAAATTCTATTTTAAGACAGTTCGCGAAATATATAACATATTTAATGTTTTAGAATAGTAATAAATTATTAGCAATTTACATTGTTTTTAAAATATACTTTTAAATTCGTAAATGTCTATTGGAAAGCAATTTAAAAATTAAATAATAATAAATATTTGTACATCCTAATTTTTATACTAATTTTAAAATGGGGTAAATGAGATAATTCTATTTACGCTACAATGATTCCAAGTTACGCATCATAAAAGTGCACTTATTTTTATACTACCTACATTAATTTATATTGAAGATTTTTCAGATATGATTTAATTCCACTTATAGAAATAAAAAATAATTTTAATCTATTAATCTTTTCGTATAAATAAGTTTCACGAAGATTAGACCCGAAGTAAATTAACAACTTAATGTAAATATTAATTAAACATAAAAAAAGCATTTTAGCATGTTTAATAGTAACGTAAATATTAGTAAATAGACATATTTATAAAATCAAATACCTCGTATATATATAATCGGCTTGGTATACATTTTAAACTGGTAAGCTACACATTTTTTATTATTTTTTTTGTACTCTTACTGCCATGTGGCACTAAGATGATCTTTTCCAAGGCTATTGTGGGTTCTGACAAGCCCACATCGGTGCGGCTGGGGGGTGAGGGACTGGACCTGACATATCCAGAACAGACCACTCTTAAAAAATTTCTGAATTTTTCGACCAAACCGAATTTGATCCCAAGTTCTTCAGAGCGACAGGCAGACGTTTTAACCGCATTGGCTATCCGGCCGACAAACTACGTACTAGATTGTGAATGAAAATATAAAGAACGCGTTAAATTCAAAAATATACAAAATATGAATAAGTAGGATAGCTTGAAAATTTTCTGATTAGTATAAAACTGAGTATTACTTATTATAAGTAATGTACACAAAATATACAGCAGTTTTTACATTAGTTTAATAAGGTAAAATATTTGTAAAATACGCAAAAATTTAATAAATTTTAATTAAACGTCATTCAAACAAATAAAATAAATAAGTAAATCAATATTTAATTATACCAATGAAATCTTGTATAAAATTAAATCGAAAATAGAAAAGGAAACATACGAATTCATGTTTTTGAAAATTTAATTAAAATTTATATTTGTTTTATTCAAAAAAACAAAAATATATTATAATAATAAATATAAAATTAACTTTTATTTACTCTTTGACTGTTTATCCTCCATGGTTACTATATCAACGATTAACTTTTAATCAAATGTTATTTGTGGAAAGAAAGATTGCATGTCGTCTAAAGATGGTAGGAATTTTTCAAATTTAAATTGATCTTTCTTTGTCAGTTAGCAATTTAATTTGATTAAAGTTTAATACAATGAAATTAAAATTATTAAAATAAATACGACAAAGAAGAAAATGAATACTTAATCAATTAAATGTCTTAAACGATTAAACGTCTTTACTATTATTGTAACGAATGAAAAAAATTTAAATTTACATAAATTTCTGATAAATGAAATAATAGTAATGGTAAATTGATGAATTGATGTTTGTCCAATTTCAGTATAATTTTGTACAGAAACTAACCGAGAAAAAAAAAAATATATATATATATATATGTTAACAAGCTTACTAATAAACAAAACATTTTAACAGAACCTTTTGTTTAGTTACTTGAGAGACAAGATGATTCAATATTTTCAGAATTGGCTTCATGAATATACAGTACATAGCATGTAGATTTATTTTTAATAACAATAATCATTGTATATTGCTACTGAATTTAATGAAAATAACCATTTATATACATTTAGTATAAAGAATGTTTATTGTATAAATTAGAGTATAGAGTTCAGAGTGTAAAGTATAGGGTATAGGGTATATAGTGTATAGTATTTAGATAATCGACATAGATGATTGGTTGAGCTTATTGTTGACGCTGACTGTCGTCTTAATTTTGCTACTCATTTGCATCGATCGATGCGTGGCCAGTAAGCACTGATTTAGAGCCAAACGTTTAGAAACGTTAAAAATTGAATGATTACAATAAAAACATTACAACCAGTTTGAGGACGTCGAGAACTAATTTGGCTCAATGCGCGTAATCTCTTGAACTAAATATTGCTAGTTCTTTGTACTTTACGGGAAAAAATCGTCCATTGCAATCTTCGAATGAATACGAATAATTTTAGAGATTTAATCCAGAATTTAAAAGGTATGAATGCTATATAATTTTTTGCTATAATGATTGTGACAACAATTGGAATTCGATCGAAACAATGAAAATTGGAATTCTTCAATGAAGAAAAAACTTTAGAATAACTATCAAATTTATGTATGTGGAAATTGATCATATTTAGATATTGAAAAAAACAAGTTTACATCTCAGTACATTTTAAGGATTTAGGTTTATAGTAATTATCTCTTAATAAATTGGCTTTGTAGGTTTATATTGAGATATTAGTTTCTATTGAAACATACAATATAAAAGTAAATCGGTCTACATAAGTTCTAGAGAATTGTGAGAGCAAATTCAAACTACAATATTCATTTCAATTATTAAAATGACAAATTATATTTATTAAAGTAATCTTGTTCTGAAAAATTGTCTTCAATTTTCTAAACAACATAAGAGAATTCTTATATTACACTGTCTGATGTATTTTTAGAGATAATGTATCTTAAAGATACTTTGAACACGCTGAATTATTTTAATTAAATCTTGTACACGTGTTCACTTAAAGAATAGAAATAGATCGTTCTGGAAATTGTTTCATATAATTAAAAATAAATCTAAATGTAAAAGAAATTTGATCTAAGTAGTGTATTCGAATATAAACTGCTTTATCACGATTTTAATTATATTTTATCATTTCGATTTATATAAAATAATTCAGAGTCGTCTTTGACGTTAAGTACTATTTCTTATTTCAAGGTAAGTACAATTATCGCAGTAAATAAATTCTATTTTAAGACAGTTCGCGAAATATATAACATATTTAATGTTTTAGAATAGTAATAAATTATTAGCAATTTACATTGTTTTTAAAATATACTTTTAAATTCGTAAATGTCTATTGGAAAGCAATTTAAAAATTAAATAATAATAAATATTTGTACATCCTAATTTTTATACTAATTTTAAAATGGGGTAAATGAGATAATTCTATTTACGCTACAATGATTCCAAGTTACGCATCATAAAAGTGCACTTATTTTTATACTACCTACATTAATTTATATTGAAGATTTTTCAGATATGATTTAATTCCACTTATAGAAATAAAATATAATTTTAATCTATTAATCTTTTCGTATAAATAAGTTTCACGAAGATTAGACCCGAAGTAAATTAACAACTTAATGTAAATATTAATTAAACATAAAAAAAGCATTTTAGCATGTTTAATAGTAACGTAAATATTAGTAAATAGACATATTTATAAAATCAAATACCTCGTATATATATAATCGGCTTGGTATACATTTTAAACTGGTAAGCTACACATTTTTTATTATTTTTTTTGTACTCTTACTGCCATGTGGCACTAAGATGATCTTTTCCAAGGCTATTGTGGGTTCTGACAAGCCCACATCGGTGCGGCTGGGGGGTGAGGGACTGGACCTGACATATCCAGAACAGACCACTCTTAAAAAATTTCTGAATTTTTCGACCAAACCGAATTTGATCCCAAGTTCTTCAGATCGACAGGCAGACGTTTTAACCGCATTGGCTATCCGGCCGACAAACTACGTACTAGATTGTGAATGAAAATATAAAGAACGCGTTAAATTCAAAAATATACAAAATATGAATAAGTAGGATAGCTTGAAAATTTTCTGATTAGTATAAAACTGAGTATTACTTATTATAAGTAATGTACACAAAATATACAGCAGTTTTTACATTAGTTTAATAAGGTAAAATATTTGTAAAATACGCAAAAATTTAATAAATTTTAATTAAACGTCATTCAAACAAATAAAATAAATAAGTAAATCAATATTTAATTATACCAATGAAATCTTGTATAAAATTAAATCGAAAATAGAAAAGGAAACATACGAATTCATGTTTTTGAAAATTTAATTAAAATTTATATTTGTTTTATTCAAAAAAACAAAAATATATTATAATAATAAATATAAAATTAACTTTTATTTACTCTTTGACTGTTTATCCTCCATGGTTACTATATCAACGATTAACTTTTAATCAAATGTTATTTGTGGAAAGAAAGATTGCATGTCGTCTAAAGATGGTAGGAATTTTTCAAATTTAAATTGATCTTTCTTTGTCAGTTAGCAATTTAATTTGATTAAAGTTTAATACAATGAAATTAAAATTATTAAAATAAATACGACAAAGAAGAAAATGAATACTTTAATCAATTAAATGTCTTAAACGATTAAACGTCTTTACTATTATTGTAACGAATGAAAAAAATTTAAATTTACATAAATTTCTGATAAATGAAATAATAGTAATGGTAAATTGATGAATTGATGTTTGTCCAATTTCAGTATAATTTTGTACAGAAACTAACCGAGAAAGATATATATATATATATATATATATATATGTTAACAAGCTTACTAATAAACAAAACATTTTAACAGAACCTTTTGTTTAGTTACTTGAGAGACAAGATGATTCAATATTTTCAGAATTGGCTTCATGAATATACAGTACATAGCATGTAGATTTATTTTTAATAACAATAATCATTGTATATTGCTACTGAATTTAATGAAAATAACCATTTATATACATTTAGTATAAAGAATGTTTATTGTATAAATTAGAGTATAGAGTTCAGAGTGTAAAGTATAGGGTATAGGGTATATAGTGTATAGTATTTAGATAATCGACATAGATGATTGGTTGAGCTTATTGTTGACGCTGACTGTCGTCTTAATTTTGCTACTCATTTGCATCGATCGATGCGTGGCCAGTAAGCACTGATTTAGAGCCAAACGTTTAGAAACGTTAAAAATTGAATGATTACAATAAAAACATTACAACCAGTTTGAGGACGTCGAGAACTAATTTGGCTCAATGCGCGTAATCTCTTGAACTAAATATTGCTAGTTCTTTGTACTTTACGGGAAAAAATCGTCCATTGCAATCTTCGAATGAATACGAATAATTTTAGAGATTTAATCCAGAATTTAAAAGGTATGAATGCTATATAATTTTTTGCTATAATGATTGTGACAACAATTGGAATTCGATCGAAACAATGAAAATTGGAATTCTTCAATGAAGAAAAAACTTTAGAATAACTATCAAACTTATGTATGTGGAAATTGATCATATTTAGATATTGAAAAAAACAAGTTTACATCTCAGTACATTTTAAGGATTTAGGTTTATAGTAATTATCTCTTAATAAATTGGCTTTGTAGGTTTATATTGAGATATTAGTTTCTATTGAAACATACAATATAAAAGTAAATCGGTCTACATAAGTTCTAGAGAATTGTGAGAGCAAATTCAAACTACAATATTCATTTCAATTATTAAAATGACAAATTATATTTATTAAAGTAATCTTGTTCTGAAAAAAATATAAATATTTGTTCAAAAATTATTAAGCTTATCAAAATGTTTTATGAATTTCATAGTTTAATTAGTTCAGTTTTAGTCACAATTATTTTTTAAATATATAAGCAATCTTTTACTGACAGCATCGATTAACACGAGATATGATCCTAATATGTATTTATTTAGTTTTCTGCAATTAATTCTCCAAAATTCTTTTGTAATTTTGCTTTTATTGTTGTTCATGATGCACAACATATGACTTTATAAATTATATAAAATTAATTGTAAGTTAATACTGTCGTTTTATGTTAAATTCAAATTATTTTTAATCGTTAATATTTTACCTAACATAAAATGTTTTTAAAAATGTATCTAATATGCTTTCTGTAGAATTGATAAATATGAAATATAAAAATAACATTTAAACTCAAGTTATTTCACTGATTAATGAAAACATTTTTAGGAAATATCTAAATATAGAATACACCCACGATTCTATGATAATTTTGTTATATGGAATCATTTTCTAGGACTAATATTTTTATTTATGACTATTTCTTTTTTTATTTTTCAGACTAAATATTTTTCATATTATCAAAATACATTTTATTTCCATATTTGAAAAACTTAAGTAATTATTTAGAATTTATATAGGTCTATTATAATCAATATACTGTACATTATTTGATATATTGTGATTTCTTTCTTTTTCAGACGAAACTAAAGATGGCATCCTTCTTGAAAACCGTCATCGTTTTAATTTTCTTTGTAGCAGTTCCTAGCTTTGCTGCTCCTGTATCAAACTCAACAGAAATTGTTCCTGTAGAAACTGAAGCAAATAAGACACAAACAACAGAAATTCCAACCGAAAGGGATGCAAAAGCTGTAGAATATAGCAATCAAGAACAAGAATTAGCAACAGAGATACCATCTACAATGCCAACAACCGAAGTGCTAATTGATCCAAAAAATTTGAATGAAAGATTTATCACTTGCGAACAGAAGATTGCAATCGAACGTCCAAATTTCGAAGTATATCCTAATGGTTCCGTTATTATTCCGTATTTAGAAGCAATGTTAGCAAAAGGAGATTACTTTATTACTGGAAACCTTCTTGTTATCTGTGTAGGAAATTAAATTACGTTTTCGTCATTGGCTTAGATAATTTATTACGGAGAACATTAAAGACATACGGTAAACTGTTTTTAAAACAAATCGAATTTCTGTGGTAAAAACCGCTTTCATTTTTTTCTTACGTTTTTATCATTAGTTTTTAAAAGTGAAATTGGAAATTTCAAATTTCTATTGTTTGTATCAAACTACATAAATCTCTCTTGAAACAAATCTTCGATTTTCACTTTTATATCGGTTTCGAAAAATGAAACATTAAAAACTAATTTTATTACTTAAATTAATAATTTTTCAAATTTAAATTGATCTTTCTTTGTCAGTTAGCAATTNATAAATTATATAAAATTAATTGTAAGTTAATACTGTCGTTTTATGTTAAATTCAAATTATTTTTAATCGTTAATATTTTACCTAATATAAAATGTTTTTAAAAATGTATCTAATATGCTTTCTGTAGAATTGATAAATATGAAATATAAAAATAACATTTAAACTCAAGTTATTTCACTGATTAATGAAAACATTTTTAGGAAATATCTAAATATAGAATACACCCACGATTCTATGATAATTTTGTTATATGGAATCATTTTCTAGGACTAATATTTTTATTTATGACTATTTCTTTTTTTATTTTTCAGACTAAATATTTTTCATATTATCAAAATACATTTTATTTCCATATTTGAAAAACTTAAGTAATTATTTAGAATTTATATAGGTCTATTATAATCAATGTACTGTACATTATTTGATATATTGTGATTTCTTTCTTTTTCAGACGAAACTAAAGATGGCATCCTTCTTGAAAACCGTCATCGTTTTAATTTTCTTTGTAGCAGTTCCTAGCTTTGCTGCTCCTGTATCAAACTCAACAGAAATTGTTCCTGTAGAAACTGAAGCAAATAAGACACAAACAACAGAAATTCCAACCGAAAGGGATGCAAAAGCTGTAGAATATAGCAATCAAGAACAAGAATTAGCAACAGAGATACCATCTACAATGCCAACAACCGAAGTGCTAATTGATCCAAAAAATTTGAATGAAAGATTTATCACTTGCGAACAGAAGATTGCAATCGAACGTCCAAATTTCGAAGTATATCCTAATGGTTCCGTTATTATTCCGTATTTAGAAGCAATGTTAGCAAAAGGAGATTACTTTATTACTGGAAACCTTCTTGTTATCTGTGTAGGAAATTAAATTACGTTTTCGTCATTGGCTTAGATAATTTATTACGGAGAACATTAAAGACATACGGTAAACTGTTTTTAAAACAAATCGAATTTCTGTGGTAAAAACCGCTTTCATTTTTTTCTTACGTTTTTATCATTAGTTTTTAAAAGTGAAATTGGAAATTTCAAATTTCTATTGTTTGTATCAAACTACATAAATCTCTCTTGAAACAAATCTTCGATTTTCACTTTTATATCGGTTTCGAAAAATGAAACATTAAAAACTAATTTTATTACTTAAATTAATTTTTATAGATTTATTGAAGTTTTATACGCTAAATTCATAAATTAACTATAACACTATATAATATTTTAAAACAACTATTTATTGTAAAATAATTGAATTTTTATTTATCATAATTAAATAACTTTTCTAATTTGCAACTTATCTATTGCTGTTAAAATTTACCGTTTATTATTCCTTTATAAAATTAATTGAAGTAATATTCATTGTACTTATCATAATCAAATTTGTCATCACCTTAAATATCTGTACTTTTTATATAAATTCTAATATAAAAGTATATATATAAAATAGCAGATTAATTTCTTGTTTTGTAAATATGAAAAATTGAATAAAAACCTTTCCAAAGAAATTATTCTTTCTGCTTTTATGTAAAGGATCTTTTTATAGATTGTTCTTAAAATCTCTAAGATAGTCCTTTATATCGGTTTTTATTCTTTAAAATGCTATTCAAAAATTTTAAATGAATTACAGATGTTGACAAAATAGTAGATAGTTGGCATAGTTATGATTTCTCTAGCTGTATAATAAAATCTATGATTTGTCACAATTTATTTACTTTGATCATATTACTTTGTATTTCGAAACAAGAATGTGAATCTGATAAAGATCGTTTCAGAAAGATTTTCCTTATATCGTAAAAACATTCATTTCAAAATAATGAAGTTATAAAACAAACATAAAGATTGTTATTCCAGAAAATTAATAACTTATGTGAGATGAATTAGTTTTGGACATAATTACTTTTTGTCATTAGAAGAAAACAGATGACTGCTATCAAAAAGCAGCGACTTTCAATTCAAGTCTAAATTTATTTTAAATACAGGTAATTAATAATGCTTCAAATACAGAAACACAAACTTCTAGATACATATAATATAGACATCTGTTTTAATCTTGCAGTACTATATTTCCATTTACAAAAAAGATTGTTTAGATAACTATAGAAAGTAACTATGAGGAAATTATATAAAATCCAAAACTGTAAAAAGATAAACGCAGTATAATATTTCATCGTAATTTAGTTATATCTGCATAAGTTTGTCCGTTAAATCTTTAAAATAAGAATAAATTATTATAAGTGATTTCACAACCTAAACCTTATAGCAGAGAAGAATCAGCACCACCACACAAAATTTCTATCATGTTTTTCTATATGTTATTATCTTAATGATTTCATACAAATATTGTCTACGAGAAAAGCATATCGTTGAAATTTTACATTTTTCTCATTGCTAAACAAGCTAGTTTCGTTTTAGTTTTTTAATCCAGTGTAAAATTAATTACTCATATAGTTGTATAGAGTGCTTTTATTAATTAATTAATATATACATTCAACTTAGGTCATATAAATATGACCTAATGTTAATGTTTAATGTTAAAATATTTCCAAAAGAGACGTGAAATTTAAAAAGTTTTGAATTTTGTAATTTTTAAAAATATAACCTATTTACGAAAGCTTTTAATTACATTATAAACTATTTTATATGAAATTTTCAGTTCTGACCAATTAATTAATAATTAATATAATTTATTTATATTATTTTGTAAGAATTTACGATTTTCTAATGAATTTATTCAGAAAATATATTTTGAGAAAAAGTTTTTGAATTTTTTATAAATCTTATTCATTAACCAAACTTTTTTAATATTGAAAATAAATAAATTTATTCTCGGTAAAAGATAAAATGTGTGCATTTTTAAAGTAATTAGAACTTTAAAAATTGAATTATTTTAAATTATCTTTTCTTTAAAAAAGTTAGTAGCCTATTAATCGTGCAATTTTACGCTTTTTTTTCTTTTTTTTGTCATTTATTCGGAAAAATATCTTATAATTTTGAAAAAAGCCTCAACAGTTTTTTCTGAATTTAATTTTATTTAGGAAGACCTTTATATTTAGAAGTTAAGTTAGAAATTTCTATATATATCGGCCTGCTTTCCGCCTTTCGATAGCCGCGGTGCGCCTAGTAAGACTCTAAACAGAAAATTCTGCTCTGCTCCTGTACTATACTAATTTAAAAATCTGGTTTAAAATCTCTGATTTAAGAACCTGTTGCATGTTTTAATCATGGAAGAAGAACGGTAATACGAAATATTAAACTTAAAACATTTTATTTTTTAAAAATCCAGTTTATAAAGTAAAAAAATCATAACAACAGAAATTGTAAGAATAAAGAATACAGTACAGTTAGACATAAGTACCTATTCTAATGAGATGTCAGATTCATAAAATATATTAATATAACGTAAATATATTTTATAATTTGTTTATTGGGCTGCAATTTTTAATTTTGCAGACCTACAGTTTCCAACTGTCGCATCTATCCGTCTACATGTCTATCTTTCCTTAATTAATCATCAGAAAGGAGTTAGATAGACGAAAACCGAGAACAGATATGGAAAGCTTGAAGGCCTGGGACCACTATTAATTAACTATATAAGAACTTCCGACCTAGAACGGAAGTCGCCTGATTTTTTAAATTAAAAAAATAATTTTAAAATGCAGTCTGGCATTGTGACGATATCGCCATAATTCAATTTTATTGTTATAACCATGTTATGAAGTTTCATATAAATAGTGTAAAGTAGTCCAATTAATGGATTTGTGAATACGTTCGAATGTCATTACATCTTATAACGACAAAATGTCGTCGTTATTTTAACAGAGTGCCACCTTTCAACGTAACAAATTCCAAATACAATGTAAAAAAGTACACAAACTTGAAAAAGTGATGAATACAAGAAAACCTTCGATATTGGGAACATTTTCTCCTTTTCTTGGTAATTATTATTATTATTATTATTATGAGGTGAAGGAGCAGCAGAAGCCGTTAACGTGTCAGCCTATATAGCTTTAGGATTCCAGGAACAAAAGAAAAACAGTAAAATGGCGAGCTTCTATACAATTGAAATCCGGAGCACCTCACATCTAGCGATTTCATCACGTCACATGGCAAGTTCGGAAAGAAAAGTAGAAAGTGACGTCGAGAACCGAAGGCAATTTTATGCAATGCGTTTCCAAATTGGGATTTTTAATCGACTGACAGAAATTTTGGGAAATTTTTTGGAATGACATTTTTCACTTTGATCTTTTTTCAGTAGACTAAAACAAAAATTTTGACATGACAGAACCTGTGAAATACTGTTTAAACATTGTTATCAAATGTGTTATTCGGAATTATTCATTAAAAAATTATTCAAAAACGATTCCTTTTGCTAACAGGAGATGGCCAGACGTTCAGATCTCCGATTCGAACGAAATTTGGTGAGTGCGTAGCCCTAAACACAAACAGCTCGTTGTCCAAATAATAGGACCCACTTCTCAAGCGTTTCCAAAAATTGGGCTTCTGAAAATTTAGTGGTTAGCATATAAGTCTTTGGAAGTTTCAATTCCCAGAATGGCGATAATCGAGTGAATAAGACAATGATACAAGTTCATAGTTTTAAACCTTATAAAACAAGAGATTAAAAATTGTGATGTCATTTCTTGTTTAGCGAAAACAAGTTTCTGCAGATTTAACTCCTTTACGTTGTTAAATAA